TTCCTTTTATCCACATCAGGACGTCGCTTGGTGTGTGGGGAGGAAAGTACTAATTTGGATGTCCCTCTGCCAAAAGTGGAAGAGGTGCCTTCGATGAATACCACAGATAACAGCCAGGAAGAAGAAACAGCTGCAGCGACAATGGGTCTAGAAGAAGCAGCATCTTCATTTGCCCTTGTCAACGGACATGGACTCGCAAAGAACGAGGAAGAGACGGTGACGGCGGTAGTGACCATGAAGGAGGAGCAAAGCGATGAAGTGAAAGACGGCCACTACTTCCTCCGTGTGGCGGAAGACACCGCACAGGAGCTCAGGAGCCGAGTCGAAAAAATTGAACACGACCTTAGCGAACATGAGTTTTCCGAGGAAGGTTTGTTCCATCCAACAGTTGTACGAGGATCTTATTACCGCCAATGAGAGGCTTTAACTGCATCTGTTGTTTAGTACACTACATTTCACTACTTTTTTCATAGCTTCTATTAATTGCATTTATAAACTTCAAATCAATATCAGACACACCTGATAATAGTCTACTTGTTTAGTTTGGTGCTTTCTCTGCTGCCAGTGTCTGGTCATCTGCGAACCACGGTAGGAAAGGTGAACTTGTTGCTCTCACAGAAGTTCCCACAGTTCCGTGGTCTCTGCATGGATAGTATTGAGGCAGCGCGTGTCTCCGACTCCGCAGGAGATTTTGTCACCCTTCCCAGTGATCTTGAGGGTTTCTGGGCGATGGTGATGCTTCAGGTAAACGACGTGCGCTCCATGATTGCTGAGTGTGATCGTCTTCGCCAGAACGATTGGCGAATTGGTTTGGAGCCCTCGAGTTCCAACGACCAAAACAGCTGCCTTCAAACTGTTAGTAGTCAACATTTTTGCCTCTTTCTTTTCTTCGATTATTTGTGATATAAGGAGTTGGTGTGGGCTACCTATTGAGTCCTGTCTGTTTACGCATTGGTTCTCTCCTCTAGCCCTCAAAAACAAAGCGACGTCAATTGAAGACAGCTGTCTCGCCTGCAACTATGAAGTCTCGTCAGAATAAGGAAGCGGCTGAATTGGCGCGATCTCAAGCTAGGGAGCGTCTTAAAGCTGCAAAGCGTCAATACATGCGTGCCCGTCAGGATGAGTGTACCTCCAGCATTAATAATAGCAGCAGCAGCAACAATGTCTTTGACAATGAGAGCTCCACCTTCCTTGTTCTGTGAATTGGCACAGCCTAATCAGCGCCGCCGTACGTCCTCTCTCTAAAAATTTTGAGGGGAGAAGGAAATAGTAAATTTGTTGGTCCCCTTCTCTCGTCGGATACTAATAATGATGGTCAAAATCTTATTGGCTGCATCAAGCCCATACCTGTGCCCATTTTAGTAATATGTAAATGATGTAATTTATCATTCTCGCTTTTTGATCGTGGTTGTCAGTCTTCAACTCTCAGTTGATTTTTTGCTGCCTCAAATCTTGATTCCGTAAAATGTGTAATACAGATAATACTCCACAAAGGTTTCAGTGCTAAAAAACTTACTACTTCGTCTTCCTGACCCTGGTTCGAGTCTTGATTAAGTAAGCGACATTATTTTGCACCGTGGAGACTATTACCAACTGGGTCTTGCAACTGTGGTGTTCTCCTACCATAACGGATGAATCCACCGAGGTTTATAAACTATAGACTTGTGAGATCCTCGATTTAGAGCCTTAGTGATTATTTGTCCAACTTGGATCACTGCGTGAGTTACTTCATTTCATTGCGAAATACTGTTAGCGTATTATACTTCGTTCTTCACTAAGGTGAACAAATCGACCGATTATGTAAATTACGGAACGGGTTAGTGTCCGATACCTATAAAGCAGGGACTGCAGAAGAATGACGCAGTCTCCAAGTTTAGCTTATGGTTTTTGTTGTGCGCGCTTATAAAGCTGAATTTTTGAGCAACCTTCAGCGGCAATAGAGTAGAGCTCTGGTGAGCATAGGCCATTCAGGTTGGCCTGAGGAGGAACGCGACTCTTTGGGGATTTCGATGATAAGCAATCAAGCGGGACCTTGGGAGAGCAGAACTGGATTTGTCGGAATTCTTGCTAAGCATCTATCAGATAAATCGGGAAGAGGTAGTACTTACTGGAAATACGAGTTGGGAAAGTGCTCGGTTAGTTTAAAAGTCGTTCTAAAATGATAGCAAATCAAAATTATTTTCTGCTGATAAACATATAAGTAGGCGTCCGTTATAGTAGCGAATTTTGAAACGAGGAAAGGATGACGAGTGTTGAGGCTTCGTTTTTTCGCTCAAGCATACCACAATTGCAGTTAGCTAGATTGTTTTGGATCATCAAACAGACATCTTTTTTTTGTTACATTTTACTGAGCATTTAGTACCTTGCAGTAGTAATAGTCAAACATTTTTTTAAGTTTCCAGCTGATGCTATCACCCATGTTAGTCTTAATTGGTATTTCGTCGCACTTATGACGTGTGAGTTCTTTATGCTTCCCAGTTCCTGTCATTTTGTTCAATGGCAATGTTATGGAGACGGATTTTCTCAACTTTTCCATTTGAGCACAGCTTCTCAGAGGTCAACAAGTGTTGTAGAAACTTAGCACTTCTTTCATACTCGTGTTCTATAATCGAGATGATTTAATGCCACCGAAATAGATCTATTAAACATTGGCTGTTACAAAGTATGGGAAATGGAATTGTACTAAGGGACCAACTAACACATCCACACTATTATAAAGCCAATTAGAATCCAATGTAGCAGTGGAACATTCTGGAATGCAAATGGCGGCTTCGTACCTAGCTTACTTAAGCAGTACGGAGTCAATGAGCGGACTCGTCTGATGCAAGTAAGTCGAGTTTATTCGATATTAAGGCGCCGCTCACACACATCACGAGAGAGGAGTATATGTAAGTCTTGGAATTTCTGTCAAACGGGCTATAGATTATCGCGGCACTTAAATGTCTGCTTTCAAGCACTGCAGTGAGTGCTTTTTCGAAAAAGTAACAGTGCGAATGCACTAACCTATCTGATGTGCTAAAGGCGCAAACTACATGATAACTCACTGCACGCTAGGGGTCCCTGTGCCTTTTTAGCTGCAACTCTACTGCAGAGGAATATCTTGCGGTTACGGTTTGGAGTGCTTGCGTGTACACATTCCAAGTTTCGCTCCTTTGCTAAAATTGCATAATGCCTTCGACTTTGGCAGTCGAGTTGGGAAAGACCTGAAAGATTCCTTTATTAACTGAGTAATCACCGATTCAGGTCAAAAAACGCGGCCCTAAATTACCATCAATTGGTACCAGCATAGCTTTGGTGTTAGGCCTGACGGTAACAAGCTCCTCAGAAGGGAGAGGTTGCCTTAACCCTAGTGGTTGAGGTGGTAGCGGACACCTCATTCATGTCCCAAAGCTGGTGCAATCAGCCGGGCGTGCAGACCTTGAAATTCTCCCACTCCGACCTACGCTGCAATGGCCCCAAAGTGAAAAATTATTGGCCACATGCTGATGTGTGAGTGCACGCGCGCGCGTCTCTGTCCGTCGGCTGTGACGGAGGCGTGCGCACATGCGACCCGGAGCTTGCGTTTATTGATCCACCACCGCCTGCGCGTGCACCAGCCAGCGCATGCAATGGTTTGCCCGGAGCTGGTAGATGGATTTGTGGACGTGACCAGGCTTAGGACAACGTAAAATCAACAGAGTCGAGCGTATACTTT